GTGTGTGGCGCTCCCTCTGGATTCACACATCAGGTGCTTGACTGTTCTGCGGGTCTCTAGTGTATTAAATTATCGTACCAAATGTGTATAATAATACTGGTATTGAAAGAGAAGTGGAGCATGTTTATTCTTGAGCAATTTGATTAGATGGGGAAGCTTGGCGGTTTTTATTGTTCTTCCTTCCTTTATTTGTTATGGGATTCAGCGTTCTCTACAGCAAACATTCAACCGATGACAAATTTTCTTGTTCTACTCCAGACAATTTAAGATGCAGTGGCGCAGAGGCGTTTAACATTCAAGGCGCATAGCTCGATCAAAAGCGGTTGTCAAGTGCCCTGCTGCGTGGCTTTGGTTAAGTGAAAGAAGAGGCCACGGTAAAATAAAAGACTGCATGATGTTTTATTAATGCCTGTCGAAACTTTTAAATGGAACACCTCATGCTTTCCATGTTGCTCTCTTGTCTGTAGTAGTAATAGGAAATCTGAATCAAGCAGATAACATCTCACATGGCATAGCTGGAAAAAGCCGTCTCATTTAACAAGAATGTCTCTCAGTCTTAGGCAGAGGGTAGCAAAGAACGTCTTGGTGTTACTGCTTGACATGTTGCAGACTTTAAATGTTATATCTAAACTAGTGTGTGAGCAGTTAAATCATCGTTAATCTGTTGTGTAATGGTCTTTAAGAGTTTGCTTTTGCGGTTTCACCTAATGATTCCCTTCATTATGTAGACAAGTTAAGTTTAATGTTATACAGCATTTAACATTGCTGACGGTGTCGCGTTAAGCTTGTTTGGACTGTGTTTTGTGTTAAAGATTGCTGAATAACAAGCTTGATTTATTCTCTCCCAAACTATCGCAGATGAGTAACGGTCACGATTGTTGTAATATTGGAAACTAAAGGAGGCTTTGAGGAAACTGTTGATGCTCACAGAGTGTACATATTTTAATTCCTGAAGGCAGCTATGTCATGAGATATTTACACACCACTGTATTTAGTAAATTTTTAATTTTTCTTTGAAAGATGTTAGAGATGCAGCTTGTTAAAAAATATTGCATAATATGCGTGAAATTGAAGTAAAAACCAGTTGAATCTTTACCTGGTGCTTCCCCACTTTGATTGTTTTTGGGGATTTTGAAACTACTGTACCTTGGAGATATATTTCTGTCTTTGTTTCACAGCAAGGATCTCTTCAGTTTCAAGATGCACACGAATGTTCATTAGTGTGTTTTGTGTTCTTGTACATATCCCGTATTGTATAAGTGCAATGAAAACGGGCTGCTTTAAAGTCGCCCTTTAGAGTTTATAACCTACTGAATAGCAGATTGGGATGTGGGAATGTGAAAAAGCTACCCAGCTGTGGTGTTAAAGCCAGTTCCCTGGTTTCCTTCCAGAAAGGCCTGGATTGGATCCATTAACTACTAACTCCCCAACAGGCTTCATGGGCTCTTCTCTTTTGGAAACCTTCTTGGGCTCCACAATGTTTTTGATGTCTTACAAAAGAACCTGGTTTGGCGCCTACATGTCGCATAAACTGCCCATCTGTATCTGTATACACACTGTCCTCTGTGCGCGGTCTGCATGCTGCTCTCACAGTGAAGTGGAGGGGTCCTGTAGAAACTGCTGTCCCTCTTGCGTTTTTCAGTCTGAAGCTTTTCAGACCGGGTCAGGAGGCTGTGAAGTACCAGGGACCCCGAGACATGAAGGCACTGGAGGACTGGATGTTGCAGACTCTGGAAGAGGAGCCTGCTGTAAGTCTCCTAGGCGGTCCATTCTTTCCATTCGTTGGGTGTTCATTTTCTGCTTTGTTTTTCAAAGGCCCGAATGAAAACTGCAGTCTCGGGTGTTGGGAGAAACAAGATTCACACACTCTTACACAAAGAGACATTTGAAGCTCAAAGTTTGATCCTTAACTAGATTGCGCTTTGGCTGGAAACTAGTTCTGCACGGTGATAAACCCAGTGAAAGGCATTGTTTTAATTATCGTAGAAGTAATTACATTTTTAGTATGCCTCGTGTGTAGTGAGACAGTGAGGTCTAATAACTCGTCAGGATTTTAAACGTGCACAGCAGGCCCGCACTACAGCTTGTTGCCGTTCTGGCAAGTAGGATCAGACTCTCCCGCGTGGGTTTTCAGTTCT